AAAATGCATATTTCTTTTTAAAAATAAACTTATATGAACTTGTCACAAACTGTGCTAAGACTAAGCTTACTATAGTCTTAAAATATTTCATTTTAAAAAAAATATACATGATTGCTGCTGTCATTTTAAAATCTAACTACCAAACGAATGAAAGTCACTTGGAAACAGTTTGTCAAACTGCTTAGCAGCTTTCTACAATAGTTTCTTCTTGTAAGCCATATCAGAAGTATTTTCTTCATTCCAGCTAATCAAGCAATCCATTTGAATCATTCATATATTCAAAATTGAGAAACCTATTGGAAGTTGCAAAGCCAAAAATCTTTTCTTCCTATTCCAATCTCTAGTAAAAATGAGGCATAAGCGTATGAAATCAGTCAGTTCTAAAATTTTGAAAGATAGTAATCAGAAAAAATCAGTTTATTCTGTTAATAATCTACATCTAAAAATACTTTGTTTAATAAGTCTGTTTTAAATATAGTAGCTACTTTTCTCTTATATATTCAACATATTTAGTTGTATTTAACTAAGAAAAATATTTTATATTGCTTTTTTATTCATTTCAAATTGTATTTTAATTTCTGTCTGTGTAGAACTTCATCCAAATCATGAATAAAAAAATTGTTATGGAGAAATCTATCACTTACATTTTTATGTTATTAGAAAATGGTAAGAAGCTGGATGTAAATATTTATTATTCTATTCAAATAAATATATAACCTCTTGGTTAGGAAAAATAGTATCAATTTTAGTTTAAAATTATATTTAGTTGTAAACTGAAATGTTTATTTGTTCTCAGTGACTGGAATCACTTTTTTGGTAGAATAACTAAAAAGTACACATGTAAGACAGGACTAAAATAGTTAAGATTTCCTGTCTTCTGATTTAAATCATGCTTAGCATTTGTTTTATATTGTTTTGAGTTGAACGAGTCCATCTTAATTTGTCATTCATTTTGAATAACTAATTTTGTAATTCTTAATTTGAAGATCATGGTATTTTTAGTCACAGATGTCAGTGATAGACATACATTGTTTAGCAGAACCACCTCTACAGTTTGTATTGTTTTCATCAAACAACTTGAAACCAGAGTCCCTTCCTGCATTAAAAGCTATGGGATTTAGAACTCTGTACAAGGCTTACTTTGCAGAGCTTACCCCCACGTCATTCCAGTGGGAGCTGAAGTTTGCCTCATAATTGTGGAAAAGTCCCACCAAACCTGAAGGATCCCGGAGGATTTGTCAGAGGCCAAAGCATCCTTGTAGAGGCCTGGAGCACCTGTCCCAATAACATGCCTCTTTTGAAAGCTTCATACTCACTGGATTTATTTTACAGATTCATCCTACCTTGGCATCTCTTTTGGTTTAGACCAGTGGTGCTCAAACTTTTTCCTCGACGGGTCAGATGGGCTGTGGCTGGCCCGCTGATGGGCCCAATGGTCGTTCTGATCCAGCGCCCAGGGCTGATGTGGCAGCCACCATCTAGCCCCAGGAAGGGAGGCGAGGAGCAGCCTGGCCTGAGCCCATCTCAGCATGGGGGGAAGGAGACGTACACTTGGCCCGGGGGGGAGGGGAGACGTGACCTAGCCCTGCAAGGGGGAAGAGGATATGACCCAGCCTGGCCTTGAGGGGGGGAAAAAGGGGCATGACCTGGCTCCCTTGGGGGAAGGGGACATGGCCTGGCCCTGCAGGGGGAGAGGACACAGCCTGGCTCTGGCCCAGCCCTGTGTGGGCGAAAAGGGACCATGCCCTGACTCTGGCCTGGCCCCACTGGTGGCTTGGGGTTTTGGAATTTGGCAGGGAGTAGGGTGGCTATATACATGGCCACGGCTTCCCCACTGCCAAATTTCCTGACCTGTGGGGATCTTCGTGGGCCACATGTGATGGCCAGAGATTGAGCACCCTTGATTTAGACTAAGAGAACATCAGGGAAAAGTTAGCACAGTATCTAGCGATACAGACTTTCTCAGGCAACTTCTATGTTGAATTTCTCTACTTTCAAATATATGTAGAAGAGACATTGGACCAGTTTTTACAGGTACTCCTCACTTAACGACCTACCTGTTTAACGACCGCGCAGACTTACGACCAGCTCTCCATAGAGTAAGCTGAGGGGGACGTGGAGCTGAGCCCGGCACCCTCTAGCCGGCTCCGCGAACCCACGAGGGGGGAGAAGCATCCACCCGGAGGGCAGCGGCCAGGACTCACCGCCATGGCCAGCGCCTTCCCATCCCGGGCTGTTTCCCTGGGGGCCGACTGCGGTCGGTAAGGGGCGGCTTCTCGCTTATCGACCATTGTATGTTTAGACATACATTGTTTAGCAGAACCACCTCTACAGTTTGTATTGTTTTCATCAAACAACTTGAAACCAGAGTCCCTTCCTGCATTAAAAGCTATGGGATTTAGAACTCTGTACAAGGCTTACTTTGCAGAGCTTACCCCCACGTCATTCCAGTGGGAGCTGAAGTTTGCCTCATAATTGTGGAAAAGTCCCACCAAACCTGAAGGATCCCGGAGGATTTGTCAGAGGCCAAAGCATCCTTGTAGAGGCCTGGAGCACCTGTCCCAATAACATGCCTCTTTTGAAAGCTTCATACTCACTGGATTTATTTTACAGATTCATCCTACCTTGGCATCTCTTTTGGTTTAGACCAGTGGTGCTCAAACTTTTTCCTCGACGGGTCAGATGGGCTGTGGCTGGCCCGCTGATGGGCCCAATGGTCGTTCTGATCCAGCGCCCAGGGCTGATGTGGCAGCCACCATCTAGCCCCAGGAAGGGAGGCGAGGAGCAGCCTGGCCTGAGCCCATCTCAGCATGGGGGGAAGGAGACGTACACTTGGCCCGGGGGGGAGGGGAGACGTGACCTAGCCCTGCAAGGGGGAAGAGGATATGACCCAGCCTGGCCTTGAGGGGGGGAAAAAGGGGCATGACCTGGCTCCCTTGGGGGAAGGGGACATGGCCTGGCCCTGCAGGGGGAGAGGACACAGCCTGGCTCTGGCCCAGCCCTGTGTGGGAGAAAAGGGACCATGCCCTGACTCTGGCCTGGCCCCACTGGTGGCTTGGGGTTTTGGAATTTGGCAGGGAGTAGGGTGGCTATATACATGGCCACGGCTTCCCCACTGCCAAATTTCCTGACCTGTGGGGATCTTCGTGGGCCACATGTGATGGCCAGAGATTGAGCACCCTTGATTTAGACTAAGAGAACATCAGGGAAAAGTTAGCACAGTATCTAGCGATACAGACTTTCTCAGGCAACTTCTATGTTGAATTTCTCTACTTTCAAATATATGTAGAAGAGACATTGGACCAGTTTTTACAGGTACTCCTCACTTAACGACCTACCTGTTTAACGACCGCGCAGACTTACGACCAGCTCTCCATAGAGTCGTAGAGCTGGTCGGCAGCGCAGCGTCTCAGCGTCAAGCTGAGGGGGACGTGGAGCTGAGCCCGGCACCCTCCAGCCGGCTCCGTGAACCCACGAGGGGGGAGAAGCATCCGCCCGGAGGGCAGCGGCCAGGACTCACCGCCATGGCCAGCGCCTTCCCGTCAGGGGGGGCCGGGGTTTCTCTCAGGTCCCGGCTGTTTCCCTGGGGGCCGACGCGGCTGGGGCCGCCCGCCGGACGGGCCCTCCCCCGCCCCGCGCCGGCCGCCAGAACCACCTCTACAGTTTGTATTGTTTTCATCAAACAACTTGAAACCAGAGTCCCTTCCTGCATTAAAAGCTATGGGATTTAGAACTCTGTACAAGGCTTACTTTGCAGAGCTTACCCCCACGTCATTCCAGTGGGAGCTGAAGTTTGCCTCATAATTGTGGAAAAGTCCCACCAAACCTGAAGGATCCCGGAGGATTTGTCAGAGGCCAAAGCATCCTTGTAGAGGCCTGGAGCACCTGTCCCAATAACATGCTTCTTTTGAAAGCTTCATACTCACTGGATTTATTTTACAGATTCATCCTACCTTGGCATCTCTTTTGGTTTAGACCAGTGGTGCTCAAACTTTTTCCTCGACGGGTCAGATGGGCTGTGGCTGGCCCGCTGATGGGCCCAATGGTCGTTCTGATCCAGCGCCCAGGGCTGATGTGGCAGCCACCATCTAGCCCCAGGAAGGGAGGCGAGGAGCAGCCTGGCCTGAGCCCATCTCAGCATGGGGGGAAGGAGACGTACACTTGGCCCGGGGGGGAGGGGAGACGTGACCTAGCCCTGCAAGGGGGAAGAGGATGTGACCCAGCCTGGCCTTGAGGGGGGGAAAAAGGGGCATGACCTGGCTCCCTTGGGGGAAGGGGACATGGCCTGGCCCTGCAGGGGGAGAGGACACAGCCTGGCTCTGGCCCAGCCCTGTGTGGGAGAAAAGGGACCATGCCCTGACTCTGGCCTGGCCCCACTGGTGGCTTGGGGTTTTGGAATTTGGCAGGGAGTAGGGTGGCTATATACATGGCCACGGCTTCCCCACTGCTTCTCGCTTATCGACCAATTCGCTTAACGACCGAGTCGTAGGAACGGAACTCGGTCGTTAAGTGAGGAGTGCCTGTACTTTAAGTCAATGTGAGCTCTCTCATATATTCACCTGACATGAACAGTCTCCTTCATTTCTTGTGGTGCAGTCTCTGGACCAGCAGAGAAGGGTTCAGATAACGAGTGGTCTCAAGAAAGAAGGAAGTGTTGTGCATGCAGGAGACCATCTCCTCACACAGACCTAAGGTGCACAATGTAGCCTAGTGTCTAAGTTTAAATGCTTTTATATACTTCAAATTACATAAAATGGGCAAATTAAAAAGAAAATTTGTTGTGCAGATAAATCCAGTCCTACCAGAATAGAACCCTAAAAATGTCTTTGTTTTATAAATAAGATTTATGAACTTTCGGAATATTTAAGATTCCCAACCATGATTTGTTTGGCACAATTTTGTGATATATGGCAAGTTTATAGTGTGAATTATTTTATGAGATTAGGTATAACTGCTGGTTTTTTTGTTAATTTTTCTTTGTCTACACTTGCTTACTTAAGGATAAATATATATTAGACACAACCAACTTAATAGAAAAAACAACACATGAAAATCAGACTGACAAAGCAGAGATTTCACTTTCACATCAGAAAACACTAGAACAAAATGAAAAATCAAACAGTGAGCTTGTGCAAGTGAATCCAAAACTTTGGGAGCAAAGATATGAAAAAATGTGGATTGAAAATGAAAAAAGGGATTTGAAAACAAATTTTAAAAACATTACAGCAGAGTTAAAGCAGATGTTTGGTGAAATTAATGAAACTGAGAAAACAACTACACCTACAGAGGGGACATCAGAAGATGGCTTCAGTGAAGAACTGGAGAGCATTCATGAAGCTCCACTTAAACTGACAAAACCCACCAATCACACAAAAAGAAAAGGTGAATTTGGGGATTTGCAGTCTGTACTTGAACAAAAGGAATCCAGCTATGAAAACTTAATTCCAAAGTCTCCTGATCAGTATGTTTTCAAGGCAAGCTGCGAACCTATTTGGAATGTAAATGAAGAAAGTTATACTAAAGATGAAGTAAGTACAAAAATAGCAGAAACTAAAGAGGTGGAAGACCAAGTGTCTGACACAGAAATAAAAAGAAATGCAGATGGAAATACAATTTTAGAGAGAAACGTTGATTATTCACAAAAGTACATTTTGGAAGAAAGCATTTTGGAGAAAAGTTCCCAAACTCTTGATATCTTAAGACCTGTTTCTACAGATGATAAAAATAAGCTATCTGGTATAGTGAAGAGGAATATTGAAAAAGACTTATCCCAGTTTAATGACAATGTCCCCAAAGACTGCTTTGTCAGTAATCCTAAAATTAGCAAAACAGAATTTGAAAATAATTTGAAAACCTCTCAACAATCTTGTGATGACACGTTGAAAAGGCAGCTGGATGAAGAACTGGAGCAAGATATGGAAAGATTTAAGAATGAGGTAGGAATGCTACAAGTAGTATTCCTGGCTTTGGAGAAAGAGAAGGTACAACTACAAAAAGAGGTAGAGGTTCACCTGCTGCTTCTCCATATTCTTTGATCTTTCTCCACATAAACCATCCTGTTCACTTCAGCTATTCATCATTAAAGGAAACTGTTTTGTGTAAATTGGCTTGCTGTGCAGTACTGAAGAGGGGCAGATGCAGAGAATTGTTTGGGTTTTTTTCTTCCTCTGTTTTGAAAGTTTAAGAAAAACTAAAATTTAGTTTTCCATAGTAGTAATTAGTTTTCAATTCAAACAAAGGGGCATATTCAGTTCTTCAGCATGTGGTTGCCACTCCCGTGACCTCAAAGGGAAAGCACAAATTTACATCAATTCAGATTGATTCAGAGAATGAAGATAGCTTCTGAACAGGGTATTGACTAATTTGTGCATGTGTACCTCTGTTAACCCTTCGCTGAAACGTCAGTTTGCTGTGAAACACTCTTTTTCATTTTAAGTTTATCATTTACATTTTTGTGAATCACGTTTTCTGTCTTTATCTCTAACATTGTGCTTTTATTCTAACTTTTTTCTATAAGATAAATAGTGTTCATTGCTTCATGTTTTAAGTTGTAGATGCTATTTAAAATTTAAAGGCTATATGTTTTTATAAAACTTGTTAATTCTAAGTGAATTAATCTTCCCCCCACATCTCTCAAAAGAGAGAGTACTCTGTTGCTGCATGTCCTCTGTTGTTCTGTATTGTGTGTTGCTCTTCTGCGTGGTGGAATATGTCAATAGAATTCTTTAGAATGTAGTAGTACATCTGATAGCTTTATGTGAATTGCAGGGGTAAAGTTTGATGTACATCCTGTATGCAACATCTCTTTTTATTGGGTCAAGAAATACTGAAGCATAGTAAGCTGTAAACTTTCTTATCCTAGGTTGCAGAGGAAAAGAGAAAGCAGAAGTATGAAGAAATGGAAACAGTGGAGAAAAAAGATGATGTTGATAAACCAAACATATCAAATTTGACTGGAAGCACTGTTAATCTGCAGATGAAACAGAAGGTGGTTGTAAAGGGCAATGAGCCTTTTAAAAAAGAAAATGAAGAAACCATAGATGAAGAAAAACTAAAAATGGTCCTTTCGTCCAAGGAGAGAGCAACATTAAATCAAATATCATTGAAGAGGTAAGCTAGTAAGAATAGAAATTGTAATCTTTACCTTATTGTCTGTAGAGGGTATCTGTGGGTTTTGGAGATAAACAAGGTTTCACAACTTTTTTTTTGCTTACGAGTAAGTGATTTTGGATTTATTTTTCTGCCTAAAAAATAATTAAGGGTATAATAAATTGTGTACTGCTTATTAAATAAATGAACATGTTGGTCATAATTTCCAAAAGTAAATGTCCAAAGTTAAATCCCACAATTGGTTGCTTGATTTTTTAAAATACTAAAGATCCAAAATCTCCCATGGATTTCATTGTAAACATGAGGGCTATAAATGCCTTTTAGAACCAGAATAAGTTAGGCAGAATAAGTTTATCATAGTGGTTCTCAGCCTTTTTTGTTTCAAGTCCCCCTCGTTAGTATCAAGGCATCCTTTGGAAAATGCCAGCTCTTAGTTTCCAGTGATTTTTTGATCTTTTAGCCCCTGGATGGCTAAATTTAAAGTAATTGTTTATATGCGACCAGCAGGCCAAGCACTGTCCACCTGAGCCCATTCTAGCTCTTGAGGTCAGTCTATTAATATGATCATTTCCTTTGTCTCTACCAAAACCATGCACACAGATTAAGGAAACTGCTAAACCTATTGGCTACAAAGAGACACCTGGGCATAAAAGGAAACAGCAGGTCTTTTTTAGCCTTTTAGCCATTGTTCTTGTTTACTGATGAACTCAGTTGAGGGCTCATCTGATGAAGAATTCTCATCAACTCTTTTTCTCTGTTGCATGCAGGCACATTCCTAACTTTGACCTGAACACATTATTCTGTAATATTATTATGCTACTTCTGTAGCATGCCACAAAGCACATTGTTACTCAGATTGCTACCTTATTTACTTGTGGGACATTTTAAAAACTCAGGTTGTAGACAAACATAATGCTTAGAACATTCAAATAAAAATTCAGATCCAAGAGTCTAGACCTGCATGCCACGTAAGACTGGCCTATGGAATGTTTAAAGACCACACTGAAAAAATCAAGTACTATTTTGAGCTGGACTTCAGAAATAAGAATTATATAATATATAATAAGAATTCTGTCCCCCTGCCCTCCCACTTTCACCACTTTCCTCCCTTCCCCTCTATGATGAGCTGCATGCTCCCTTCCCTCTTTTCCTGCTGTCCCTGCTATCTCTGGCTGATGCAATGTGAGGGGGGAAGCTTCAAAACCATTCCTGCCCTGATTCACATGGGGACAGTGGCAGCAGGAACAAGCAGGTTTCTCTTTTCTGCCCTGTGGCCCTGGGTGTTCCCTGACAGCCCTGAAGCAAGTGTGCAGGGGGGTGGAAATCCACCCGCTGCCACTGTTGCTGTCCCTGGCTGAGCCCAGCTGGACCAGATAGGATTGTTTAAGTGTACAGGCCATGAGCATTCCGTGCTAGGGATGTGAACAGCTAAACAATTAATAGTTTAACCAATAAGCCCAGTGATAACCAGTTATATTTTACTGGTTATTGTTTAGTGTGTGGTGAGGTGTAGTCCCGGGAAGGGTGGAGAAGGGAAGCCATGCAGTACTCCAGCAAGAACCAGAAGGTGGCAGGGCAGGCAGTTAGGAAGGAGAGAGGGAGAGAGGAGCATGAAGGAAGGGAGGGGAAAGGAAGACCAGTGCCTATAGCTAGGCTCCATGGACCCCAGTGCAGTTGCTTGCAGCCTCCCTGCTGCCTGCCACGAGCAGCCTGGGCTCCAGGAAGGACTCTGCTTGGCAGCAGTGCAGTCTACTTAGAACCCTTAGTATCCACACAGACATTTCAGTCAAGAGACAATTATGAACTAATTCTCAATCAGTGACATACTTGGAACAGTTCAGCTGTTATGTCTGTCCATACCCACAGGGTCACAATCTGCTTTTTAATTGAATTCTTCCTTGCCTAAAAAAGAAAGTATCCAGTACCAGCATGGTTCCTGAAAGAGAGCAAGTTCTCCAGTGTGCCAGTATACCTATGCACTGGGGGGACAAAGCTAGTACATTGCCCACTCCCTGGTCTCTCTTGCCAACTCTTATCTACAGATGCATGGGGATTCTAGGATTTAGCTCTATGGAGTCTTTTTTTCTACCATAATAATCTGGGTAGCCAGAGCAAGAAAATAATAGCGCACTTATGTCCCTTTGTTCATTTGTTTGACTAGGAAATTTGGGCACAGCAAACGCTAACAAGATTCTCAGTCTGGATCTAGTGAACAGCTCATTTGGACAACAGTGTGACCACCCCTAAAATAAAGGATGTGAATAGGGTGGATGTAAAAAAAAACGTTGCAGAGTTTTGCATTGGGTATAATCACAGTAAAAAAGTAATCCTATTCAGTGAAAATACAGTATCATAATTTATTAGTGTATGCATTTGAATGCAAAGGTGTAGCATAATCTACAAATTTTACATGAATTTCTTATTTCTTTAAAAAAGACATGCCTAACCTTAAAGTGAATTCCTGCCTCTGAGTACCTGCGCCTAGTCACAAAAGATTCAAATTAGCTTCTGTAGAGTAAATCTAGTCCAAATTCTTATTGTATTTGACAATATGTTGTTTTGGGGAAAAAAAGTTGCTTGCAATATTGTCATCTTTCAGTATACTTGGTGGAACCATCCTTAATGTTCTATCATAGAAAATATTTTTCTTCCAAGTTCTTCAGTATTCTTGGGTATTGTCATCTGTGTTTTTGTATTTCTGATGCAAAATATTTTATTTGAAGATAATTGAATGTTGGATTTTTCTTTATTCATTTAAAGCAGTAAGCCTGCCTTGACTATGAAAGACCTAAAGAAAAGTAAAAACAAAAAGCGGATTTCAAAGCAAAGAGCTAATCAGCAGATGAATTCTACCAGTGGAAGCCAGTTTGATGATAGCACTTTGAGTGAAACTTCTCAGGATGAAGGAAGGTACTGACTATAACAATTTTGTTACCATGTAAGATTATTAGAAATATAATGTATTTAATGGTAAACATAATTGAAAGTAGTAACAACTGAAATAACTGTATCTGTGACAATCTACCTATGACTCTGGGAGTTTCTGGCGTACAGTAAGAGTCTTGTAGTATATGACTATTCTCCCCTCCTGTGACAGGCATTAAGGACAGTTAAGCTCATTGGCAATTCTGTGACCTGGTGAACGTTGGTGCATGGGGCAGCATCAGTAGCTGTATTGCTGGCAGCAGTCAGGCCAGCACTGCAGTGGCTATTGTTTTTATGTCCTCCTGTAACTCCACACCCGGGGCTGGTGCCCCTTTTGCTACGATGCTGCTTAAGCATTGTTGTACTCTCAACCAGAAAACAGAAGCAAAGGAACTGAAAACTCTCCTTTTGCCCCCTCATCTCCAACTACTCTTGTCTCCCTCTGTTCAGAAGCATTTAACCTTCACCCTATTCTTTCTACTCCACTTCCTTTTTTTCTCATCTTTTCTCTGTCATCCTTTTCCTTGGAGGGAAAAGAGAAAAGGTAGGCAGATGAGGAGAAACAAAATAAGGGAAGAAGAGCTTCAGCTCTGAACTTCTAGCTTTCCTCCCTTGTAACACCTTCACGTGCATTTGGCACCCTATTAGGGTACTGCATACCCTACTTACACAGATCCACAAGATTGTTATGAAGAGAATTGTTTGTCTTGCAATTTTGTGTTACTTTGTTTCAAAGTAAGACAGTTAGGGTTAGAAAGATAAGCATTTGTGGCTTCATAGCTCACAGTAGGGGATGGCAAAATCTGGCCCATGTGCTGAATCTAGCTGAACAGGGGATTTTATCCGCCTGTGGCAGGTCCCTTAGCCCTACTTAGCATAGGTGTGGGTGCCAGCCTGGGCCCTGGTGTGTGCAGCTAGTCCTGCCGCCCCTTGGCATACAGTGAGGCTGAGGTGGCAGAAGAGCTAAACTCCGCTTCCCAGCAGCCCTGGCATCGGTGGCTCCTCCTTGCTGCTGTAGTCAGTGTGCTGCAGCCGCTGAATCTGGCCCTGCTCCCCAAGCACCAGGCCTGTCAACCCTTTCCCGGTGCCAGGTAAAGCATGCAGGCAGGTGGGCTCTCTATGAAGACCAGCGCAGAACCTGCTCAAATAAAAAGACAAAGATTTTTTTCCCCAATCAGCGGGGGGGGGGAAGCCCCTCTTCTTACATTCACATACAAGAAAACCTTACTAAATACATTGGGTCCTCCATAAGATGAAGCCAGACCAGGTTGCCCTGTGCCTCATATGCATATATATTTTGGAGGATCCCAGGACTCATGACTAAAACACCTAGTTTCAGTCTTGACTGGGGGGTGCTAATTAGCACCCCATTTGTTGGAGGGTGGTATTTGGAGTACACATACATATTTAGTAGTGCTGAGGTATAGGGTCACCATGTTTTGAAACTGTTGGCTCTGGTGGGACTAAGCCCAATTAACTATATGGTAAATCAGGAAGCTTTTGGATTTGGACTAATATCATGCATAGTTTGTATTATATGTAAGTAGGTACAAAATCGTTGCTTAAAAGTATGTTTATGGAGTACCTGTAGTAAAACAATAGTGCAGAGTCACATTAATCATATGTAATGTGCTGAGAGAGGGGGCAGCAGATGGATTCTAGATGTTTGGTGCCCCATTGGGTAATGTTTTCCAAACTTTTAAGGCAGGTGAAGAAACAAGAATCATTGGAAATGAAAAAGAAAGGCGCATCTCATCTGTAGCAGTGAAGAGAAAGTAAAAATGTATTAATTGTAGTGGCTCACTATGACTTGAAAGAGAGTCAGCACTGAGTGGGATTGAGCTCAGTGAGCACTACAGTATGTCTTATTCAGGCACGCTGCGCTAACCTATCCTTGTGGTGGGTTCCCGTCAGTATGTTTGCCCAATATGGCCATATGTTTTTTAGTCATGCTCAGTGTTGGCTGCATTTAATCAGCTTCATAGTTAGTTTCCATTTCTGAGTACATGCTGCTTTTGGCAGAGTTTAATGATGGACAGTATATTTAATGAGGTTTCTTTGTATGCAAATGTAAGACAAGGGGCTTTTTCCTTTATGCTGATTGTGGGGGAGGGAGGGGGGCAACCTTGTCATGTATTTGAGTAAATTCAGTAATAAAGCAATGTGTTCAGTAGCCCTGGTGGTAGCCCATCACTATTCTGTTAGCTTTCATTCACATTTTATATAGGACTAAACTGTAAAAGAATTCACATTTATTAAATAAATTAAAGTTTGCAAAACTTGAACTTTTAACATCAGCTTACAGCATCAAAAATTATTTTTATTTTCTAGACCCGGAACCAAATCAGTGAATGAGAAGAATATGGTATGGTAAAACAGTTTTCCAAATAAAAAAATACCACATTAAATGAAATGCTTATGTACTACCATAAATAAGCATGGGGTTTCACCAGAGGTGCTAATTGCTTTTTGGTCTGTGAAAAGTGTAGTCTTTCACATTTGAAACCAAACATATGGAAAATAGTTAAGAGAATGGACAAGAATGCTTGTTTTTGTGATAATGGTCAGAAATAAATTCTTTTTTTTACTTCATAAAAATATATAATGTTTGTAGATCACATCCAGGGATGTTGCAGATGATTTAGATGATTTAACTCAGTCTTCTGACACGCCTACTGAGGACCTAGAGTTGCCTACTACAACCTACAAAGAAGCAATGTTGCTGATAGAACAGCTTACTGTGGACAGTAAAGGTAAAGAAAAATCCAATCTTTATAGCAATCAGACACAACGTCAATTTGAGTTGTCTGGAAAATTCAAATCTTTTATTTTAGTTTGTCTTGGAAATATCATTGTAGATTCAACCAAACTAGATTTCCAAATGCTAAGTAATATCATTGTAGATTCAACCAAACTAGATTTCCAAATGCTAAGTATTCTAAATTTTTACTTTGTCCTTGGAGTTGTCATCTCCTTAAGCTTGAGGAAAGCTATTGCTGTCTGAAGCACTGATTCAAATTGTACCATATTCTGGTTCCTGTACACTGGAAAAAGGTGCTGTGAAAGTTCTAAATTAAACTAACTGGAGAGGAACTTCCTCTGTTCAGGACCTGAGAAAGATTGCCTCAAAGCCATGTCTGTACTGCTTCCCTGCTGAGCCTGGGCTTACCGCCAAAGAAAGAAAGGGCAACTATGCACATGCAGTGAGGCGAGCTCGTTTGACGAGCTTTAGTTAAAGCAACCCCGCTGCCATTTTTCAGTCTGGGGACACTGATATATATGATGCTCCAGGTGCTTTAATTAGAGTGGCTCTTGGAGCTGCTCTAATTAAAGCCCAACCCCTGGAAAACACCTAAAGGAACTACTTTCAGTTAGGCTATATATGTTGTTAGATTGTCTGAGAACTCAAGACTGCTCTTAGCTGTATGTTGGACCAACCTGTTTCTTAACTATACAGTTAGCCTAATAAAATATATTACCAAAGAAATGTTACTTAGCTGTATATCCAATTAAATTGTCAGACTTAGTTGTGCAGTGTGTGGGAGTGAGCTGGGCTTGTTGTGTTGGCAGTTGTCACAAGCTCAGCAGGGAGACTATAGAAATATAGCTTTAGAGGTACATCACAACTGTTGATCTGTATTCTGTAGACCTTGGCTAAAGCATAGCAAGATGTTTTCTTTTATTAGAAATATAAGTCATCTTTACACACATGCACACACACACACTCAAATATTATTTTTGTCTATATGTAGGAGTAATCTTGATCATATATTTGAAAGTGAACTAAAATAAGGTATTAACATTGCTTTTAATGTAAATAATGATCAAATATACCACAAATGGAAGTATTTGGAAGTGGAAATGAAAGAACTTTCTGTTGCTTTTTTTTTTTTAACTAAATGAAAGCTGCACATATTTTTGTCTTCCCAAATAGATTCTGTTATTCTCTTGAAAATTCAGAACATACTTCATGGATATGAACGATTAATAGAACGTGAAAAGGGTCGCTATACCCAGCTCTTGGGAAAAGTAAGAAAACTTGAGAATGAAAAGAAAGAACTACAGTTAATATTGGAAGAGACCAGAGAATTGAAATCCAGACTGGATCACCAGAAAATGGAATGGGAAAGTGATGTCAGCAGTCTCAAGTACGGAATTTTAAATTCTTGTAAACAGTTTACAACACTCTTCTGACAAAACACAAATATTGACAGGCATTGACGGTGTGAAATGAGATTCCTTTATTTTTTAAGCACATTCTTAACTACTTTGGGTGAGTTCTCAGCACCTAGCAGAATCAAATGAAAGATTGGTCAGAAAACGACTTACCTTGACAGTAGGTTCATTGGGAAATTCTTTCCTACAAGAATTTTCAATTCAAAAGATTTTATTTCACTGGAAATTTCACCAGAATTTGATTTCACTAAAAACCTGGAAAGTGAGTAAGGCCCCTGACAGACATAACATTTGTAGCACTACAATTACTGCAGCACTTTGAAGTGGTATAGAAAATTAGTTTTATGGACAGAGACAGACATAAATGTAGCTTTATAGACAGACGTCCCACCTCCCCTGCTGAGCCCTTTAACAAGGGTACAAAATCTCTGTAAAGGCATGCAGCAGCATGCTTTCCAATTAGGGGGCACAATAAGGGATTGCTCAGCCTTGTAACTGCTCCCTCTGGGGATCCCAGGAGCTGCAGCTGTGTTCCTGAACCCCCAAGTAGAACTGGGAGACCAAAGATGCACAGCCTTATAGGAATTACTACTCTCCAGCCCTAATGACAACTGAGCATCCAGGTGACTCTCGTCAACTGTCCACCTTACTCTCCTTTCCACCTCTCTAGAAGTAGGGTATGGGAGAGAAGAGAACGCTGTGGGGTGCCAGGGGGACCACAAGATCCCCTGTCCATGTCTAATGTGTAGCAGTACTAAACGCAAGTTGCAGTTTCATCCAACAGCATTTTTGTAGCACGTTTTGTATTTTTGTAGTGCTACGGGATGTACACATGTCTGCGTGACTTTTTATAGTGCTATAAAAGTGTTTGTATTGCTACAGTATATTGTATTCAACCAGGACATGAGGGACTTATTTGTGAGATAAAGTAAGGAGGAATGGAATAAAACATAACATCTGTTCTTCTCTCTCTTGATTTGACCAACTTGCTCAATTTAAATTTCACACCCCACATGACCCTTTCCTTCTTGGTTAGTATACTAGGAACTTGGCTTCCTCCTCTTTGCCTAACTTAACCATTGAATTTATTACCAACTAACCATAAATGATCCAGTGCGCAGCTTTACATGAAAGGTGTTTGCGGTGATATGCTTTTGCTGAGTCTCACAACAGTTGTTCAAGACTTAAGTTGTGTTTTCAGTCTCAGAAAAATTCTCATTTATAAAAAATAGGTTGTATGAATATTATTTATATGTGGGTGCATGTACATGTTGTCTTACAGACAACAGAAAATGACAAGTTCTGTACCCCAAATAAATTATTATTTAATATAGTTTTAACAAGAGATGGCAGCAAAGGAGCATGGAGAATATAACAACGGAAGATCATGAGCTCTGGTCTTTGCAATTTTATTTCCTTCTGTTTGCATATAGGTTACTAAGAATTGTGCTTGGTATCCAGAATGAAGTCCTCATGAGGGCTCACATGTTAGACATGAGGAAGAAAAATTAAATAAGAAAAGTCAAGTTTTAAATTTCCACTACCAGTGTCCCTGGAATAGATCTGAATGGAGTTTTTAGTTGTTGCTTACAATAAATAGGGTGTACTTTTAAAGTAGATGTGCTATATATATAATGAGTTCAAGTTTGAAATGTTGCTTTGATTTGATACCAAAATTTAGTAGATTTTTGTTTTTCTTTTCCATTGACAAAATCCTTTACTATTGTTTATTTTAATGACAAATACTTTAATATCTATTTTACATGAAATAATAAATACATGAATATCAATGTTGCATTCACGAGAATTAGGGGTACACTGATAGAAATTTTGGGGGCCGATACCAACAGCCAATTTTTAAGGAGGCATATCGGCTGATACTGGTCCAATTTCTGATACAGCTGGGTGCAGCTGTTAAGTCTGTTGTGGTGGATGGGGAAGGGGAAGGGAAGGGGCATGGGGGGTAGATCAAGGCCCCCACGGTGAGGGAGTGGAGCTGGGGCAGGGGCAAGCGCTGCCCTGCCAGGACGGGGCGGGACGGGGCATGGGACAGAGTCATCTTTCATCCGGGGGCGAGGGTGGCTCCTGTCTCTGTGCACACCCCGGGAGGGCATGGGAGGTGTGTGTGCCCCCGGATCTGGGCAGGGCGGCCTGCAGCTGCGGGCTGGGGCCAGGGCTGCACTCAGGGTAGGTGGCGGCAGTGCTGGGAGGGGGGCTATGTCGGGGGGCTGCAGCCACCCCAAATTTTGCCATAGCCCCTCCCAACACCGCCCACCCCGAGCACAGCCTCGATTGCAGCCCCCACGCATTGGGTAGAGCCTGGCACAGCCCTAGCCCCAGTCTGCAGTGACAGCCCCCCCCCCCCCGGAGATCCGGGGGCACATGCCCCCCCACCCTGTGCCATCCCAGGGTGCGTGCAGTGGCAGGAGCCAACCCTGCACCCTATGGACGAGCTGCAGTTCCATCCCGCACCCCGCCCCAGCTGGGCAGTGCCTGCCCCTGCCCATGCCCCACTCCCTCAGTGCAGGGGCCTTGATCTGCCCCCCCACACCCCTTCCCTTCCTCCTCCCCTTGTACCAGAGCAGGCTTACCAGCTGCACGTAGCTCTCCATGCTGCCAGGCAGTGCTCCTTGCTGCCTGTGTGCTGTGCTGAGGCTGGGCACACACATGGGCATTTATCAGCCAAATTATTGGCCACATCAAGCCGATTTCTGACCCAATCAATTTTCTTTATATCGGTGCTGATCCAATATCGGACCAATGTATTGGTGCACCTCTAATGAGACTCTGTCCTTTAGCAGAGCTACAGTAAGAATTGCAAGGAAACTTTTATCTTTGTAGTTCAGATTTGTTTCACATTTCAGTGTTTTTGGCATATGATATTCTATTATTCTTCTATAAAGCTAAGAGTTGAAACAGTGAAATATGACTTGCTTATATGATAGAAATTTCAGGTACTAGGGGGAAGGTGTAAATCAGCAACTTCAACAATACGTAGTCTGATATTTTTCCTGTCACATACCATTTTTTAAAACTAAATGGTTATCAAACACAGGAATGATTTATCTTCCCAACATGAAAATGTAGACATAGACTCTAAATTGACTTTTTTTGTTATGCTTCTGTTTGTTCCCAATTAGATTTATGTATTAGGGGAAAAAATATCTAAACTCTCCCTAAAGCCTCTGCTTCTATTAACTTAAAAATTTGATTTATATTGTACTTCCAGGCTGTCACATTTTTTATCACATTAAAGTTAGAACTATGCTAAGACCTAGCAAGACTTTTCTAAAGCTTATTTGAGATGCCTTCATTCTTCTTTGGGTATTAGGTGTTGGCTACAGCTGATGCTGGGAACTTTGACTGGGGTCAAAGGAACATTGGCTCCAGCCAGTGCTCCTGCTGGGACTTAAACCTGGAGATTCCTGCCTAAAGGGCTTTGGCCCTCTGCTGAGAGTCGGATCAATTACTATGTTTGGGGTCAGGAAGGAATTTTACTCCATGGTCATATTGGTATGGATTGTGAAGGTTGTTGCCTTCCTCTGCACCAGATGGAATAGCCCTCTTCCTGGGATCTCTTGAACATATATTAGCAAACTTTACAGAAGCAGGACATAGGCCATCATGGTCCCTCTGCTTTAGTTTTGGCAGGTTAGTGTGTTACGTTGTCATGTCTTGTGTTAGGATTGACTGTAGTTTTGCTAAGAGGTTAGGCAGTGGATTTGTATAGGATGGTTTGGATAGGGATAATCCTGCTTCAGGCAGGTGATTGTACTAGATCAGTGGTTTTCAACCTTTTTTGTACCAGGACTCATTTGTAAACATTAATGGGCAGTCCCAACAAAGTGCCCCTCACTCCCGACCCACTGCCCCCTGCACCCAGACCCTAGCCCCTACCCAGTGTGTAGGGCAGGGGGTGGGTATATGGGGCATGGAGAGATCCAAGGAGCCCCTTGCAGACTGGAACTTTTTTCCATGTTTTTCTTCTTTAAAGGAGAATCCTTTTTTAAAGTTTGCTGGTCCATTTTTAAAGCTTGTTTGTGACCCTTTTATATATTCTTGCAGCCCACTTTTGGGGGCAACCCATGGGTTAAGAAACACTGGACTAGACTAGGACCTATGGAAGTCCTCCAGCCCTACTTCTTTATGTTTCTACGTGTATCAAAATAACTGTATGGAAAAATATATTCTGCTTACTATTTACAAGATGTAATAACAGCCTACTACTACAAAGACCATATTTAAAACTGGTCAGTTTTGCCTTAAACAACAGCGTTACTTTCCTTGTAATATTACGGTAATTATGTAAGTCATTATGTATTCCACATAGTAGGGATATCTGGGGTTATGAAGCAATCTAATATTCATGTACTTCAATCTGGTAGAACCCATCTTCTGCTAGATTGGTCCATCAGTATGGATTTTTGCTCTGTCAGTGTCTGGACTTATATTTTTTGCCCAGATGAATTATTCTGCTTGAACTTGTTTTGTTCTATATTGTTAATTTGGTATTCTGGATAATTTAGTTTTTTAGAAGGCCAGAAGCATTGAGGAGGGAAGTTACTATCTACCTCTTCTGTAATCTCCATAAAAAAGATCATGTCAAGTCCACAGCCTTGGGTTTGGCCCAAAGTATAAGATATAGCACCTGATACCCTGAAGGTATTCAAAGTATAGCTCCTTCTATTTTGGTGATGGCTTGCATAAATAATTGGAATATATATTTTTATAAGTCTGGAATAAAATTATTTTTGTTGTATAAAGTTTAAAATACTTGCACATCTGTAATAAAATGAACTTAGAATTTTAGAATTAATTTTTAAAAATCTGGTTCAGGGTTACAGTATAAGGTGGCAGAATTTTAAAATTGTGATCGTCTGTTAATTCTGAAAAGCTGCATAATATGGTATATTCATCTTTGTCAACTTTTTAACAGGCTGAAATATCAGTAGGTAAAATTCCTGCTAGGTGCATGTATGAATTTTGCTTTTAAGGTAATGTTAAATTCCAGGTTTACTCTGAAACAAGAAGAAGAAAAGAGGATGAGTTCAGAAATTCTATATGAAAAAAACAGAGAACAGCTAAGAAAGAAAGAGGATCAATACTGTAAAGAGATGGAGGAGAAACAACAACTTGAGCTAACCCTCAGGGGTCTAGAAATGGAGTTAAGAACATTGAGAAATCACCTTAAACAGGTTAAGTAGACTAAGTTCTAGAATACAAAATTCAACACTGTTTTCATATTTGTTTCTATTCTGAGCTTTAATTCAGATGTAGCATTCCAATACTTTTAAACAACATACATTTTAAGAAATTGTAGCTGAACGTTTATAATGGCCGAATATTGTCCTAAATGTTTGCAGGCAAAATTCTCTTTCTCTTTCAAGAGCTGGCTCTGAAGAGTTCTTCACTTAGGAGGGCATTCATCTGCCAAATGTGTTGCTTCTACAAAGATCTACCCACCTTATTCTTCTGTCTGTTTCTGTCTTTTTCAGACTGCTTACATTACTTGCTGAAAAGTCATAAAAGGGTCTGTCAGTCCCAGTGCCCATCAGTTTCTCTTATCTGCTCAGACCCCCACTGCTTTTCAGATGGTATTGATTTTTGTGGCACCAAGGCATGTTTAAGATTGTCAGTCTGCTGGGGGCTTTATGTTCTGAGAACTCAATTTTCTGAGTCATGAAGTGAAGATAAAATTCTAATCGTTGTTCTGTGTCCGTTTTTGACAGAAATATAGTATAACCTCATAAATGTGGGTTTTTAAAAATCCGGAATTCTCAGAAATCTGGCACTTTGGTGGCTGGTCCCAGAGTAGCAACAGCCAGGTCTGACGCCTCAGCCACATGTGGAGCAGCGGA